TCCTTACACCAGCAGCATCAACATCATCTGGGAGCCTATTAGAAATGCAGAAGCTCAGGCTCTGCCCCCAAACCTTCTGCATCAAAATCTGCTCTTTGGTGAAAGAAGCCACACACAAAAGTCACATGTTGTACGACTCCAATTATTTGAAACATGAAGACTAGGTAAATCCATGGAGGCAGAAAGCAGGTTACCTAGAGTGCCAGGGTCTGAGGGAGACAGAGGAATGGGGAGTGACTACTTGATGGGCGTGGGGATTCCTTGATGATGAAAATGTCTTGGAACTAGATGGATGTGATGGTTGCACAACATTGTGAATGTACTAAATGCCACTGAACTGTACACTTTAAAATGGTCAGAGATTAATTTTATGTTATGTGAATTTTACCTCAATAAAAAATGAAAAAAAAATCTGCATTTTAAGAAGATCCCTCCCCCCAGATGATTCATATCCACATTCAAGTTTGAGGAGCAATGTCTGCTAGACCAAGTATCAGGTATTTTCACTCATTTTCAGTCTGGTTTATAGAAACATTGGTTTTCAATACAAAGGAGCAAAATATTCATTAATGCTAATGCATATAACATCACAATATTAATGGTTATCTAAATAATGTTGATACATTTTCTTAAAACTTTGGATTAGGAAATGTTAAAATAATCTCACATTTTTAAACTCTTTTTCCCAAATTTGTTCTACACATTCAATGGAGAAATTGCTAATACCTATGAAATATCAAATGTTTCACCTATTAAATTTGAGTTCTTTTCTTGTTCCACAAACTGTTCCCTAGCACCATCTATTTCTTCCTGTTATATATTCAACTATAATATTCTTTAATTTTTTTTTTTAACTTTCACAGATTAACTCTCCAGAAGAAGTGTTACCCTACTTGATATTCAGTATATATTTACTTGTGACAGCTTTATGGTACAATTAAATTTCATACATTTTTTTCAGCCCTCTCTGAATATGCATTAGAAAGCCAACCATCATAATTCTAAGCCAATTGGCTTGATTTGCTTATTTAAGCCCACGTCTCACAGGCCTGCTACATTTCCATACACTCCATCCCCATCTGCACTCCATCCACCTGCCCACAGACACTGACTGTGCCGACAGTGAAGGAAACCACAGGGTACTGACAGCCAAAATAGAACTTCCATTAGAAAGCCCTGTAGAAACATAAAGTCCATATTTAGATTCTAAGCTTTAATACGCCAAATTGAATAGTGGTGCTGGTTAACCACATGACAGAAGAAACCGAAAATATAGTATCAACAGCAGACTGGGCCTGCGTCATTCAAAATCGTTTTATCAGAGTTTAGCATATAAGAAATTGCTATCACAATTTAGCATATGAGAAAAATCCTGATGTTTAGATGGACTGAGTAACTTAATAAGGCTCATTTGGATGCAAAAATAAATGAGCATCAAGTTAACATTAACTTTTAATGCTTGCCATTTTATGTTAATTCATATTTTTAAATTATGGCTGATTCTTTGCAATCAGTCTATGGCTAATTATACCTCCAATATGTAAATCTGATGGAATGCCGGGACGAAAGAACAACAGAAAATATCCAACAAAGACTTTGGAAACTCAAACCTGCCACGTGCCCCTGTCAACTGGTAAAATCCAGCCTGCAGAGCAAACCTCAAGCTCTGAATTTCTGTCACCATTATTTCTCAAAGATCAAAGCTTAGCTTGCTTAACCATGGAAACCATATTGATGCACACTGTTTGCAGACATTTTTCCCGATTTTTTCATCTTTGTAAGTGACAACTCTATCCTAAGATACAAGAGCGATGTGTTAGGTGGATGTACACTGGATTTTTAGGCAACCTTCAAGCCGAAACAATCTAAATAAGAAATCTGGAGTTAAATACATTCTCCCACCCAACACTAAGATTACACATGTTCTTCACTATCAGACACAAAGACTCTTGCAGTTACTAAAAGACATCCAGCTCCAACTCTACTAATGAGGATGTATTCTAATGGCATGCTCTCATCAGAACCTCAGACTCTAATAATACAAAAAATAATAGCTATCATTTAATAAGGGTGTACCCTGAAGCAGGTCCTTTGTTAATGCTATTTATGTCACTTATTCTCCACACAACTCCACATAAGGAAACTGAAACACACTTAACCAAAGTTAACCAGGTAGTAAATGACCAAAGCAGAGCTGTCTGATTTTAGAGTCAGTTAGATGTGGGTTGTTCAAATCCAGATGCTACAGATTTAACAAATATTTCTATGTCTGTTAACCACTAGCTTTAAGAATCCAACTCCCATATTTCATGAGTGAAGACACTGAGGCCCAGAGAGCTTAAGCAACTTGCCCAAGGTTGCACAGCCAGCTAGTGGCAAATCCAGAACCAGAGCCCAGAGCTCCTGTCTGCTCAGTCATTTTCTGTCTTCCACATCTTTGATGTACATGTAAGTTAGCTGGGGATCTTGTTACAATGCAGGTTCTGATTCAGTAGGCCTGGGAGGGACCTGAGATTCTGCACTTCTACCAACCACCTAAGTGATTATTGGATTATTGAAACCAATGCTCAACACTGCACTGCCATCATCACTGATAGAAATAAGAGGCCTGGGGGCCGGCCCCGTGGTGTAGTAGCTAAGTTTGGCATGCTCTGCTTCAGCGGCCTGGGTTCACAGGTTCGGATCCCAGGCAGGGACCTACACTACTCATCATGCCATGCTGTGGCAGTGACCCATACACAAAATAGAAGAGACATTAGCACAGCTGTTAGCTCAGGGCTAATCTTCCTCAAGCAAAACAAAAAAAGAGGAAAATTGGCAACAGATGTTAGCTCAGGGCAAATCTTCTTCAGCAAAAAAAAAAAAGGAAAGAAAAGATAAATAAGAGGCCTGAAGATGTGCTTCAGGATTTCAATTAGGAGGAATGACAGTGTAAATACTGTTTGTTCACTGACCACTAAGCTGACCTGCTCATCTGAATTTGTCCAGGACTTTTCCAGTTTTAGCACTAAAGGTTCCACAACCTGCGAAACCCCTCAGTCCCCGGCAAACCAAGATGGTTGGTCACTCTACCCTCAACTGGTTTATATACCACATCTAATAGCATTAAATATGGGAGAAAATACACATGAGTTAGGAAGAGAGGAGGCAAAGGGTGAGAGGGCTTAAGAGACTGAAGGTGGGGTCAGCTTCCTGGGTGTGCACCTGTGCAGTTGCCCAGGCCCTGCACTCAGAAGGACTCTTCACTCGGTTTCATGTTCTGCTCTTGCTGTCTTGAAATTCTTAATAGTTTTTTCATTGAGATTTAATTCACATAGCATAAAATTACCTTTTTAAAGTGTACAATTCAGTATTTTTAGTATCTTCACAAGGTTGGGGACCATCACCACTATGAAGTTCCAGAACTTTTTCATCACCCCAAATAAACACCCGCACCCATTAGCAGTCCCTCCCCATTCTCCCTTCCCTTCCACCCTAACCATCACTAATCTACTTTCCGTCTCTATGGATTTGCATATTTTGGACATTTCATAAAAATGGAATCATACAATACGTGGCCTCTGTGTCTCGCTTCTTTCACTTAGCATGTTTTCAAGATCCATCCATATTGTAACATGTATCAGGACTTCATTTCTTTTTATTGCTGAATAATATTGCATTGTATGGATATATAACATTTTCTTTATCCACTCATCAGTTGATGCACATTTAGGTTGTTGATACTGTTTGGCTATTATGAATAATGCTGCCATGAACACTCGTGTACAAGTTTTTATGTGCACGTGTGCTTTCAATTCTCTCGGGTATACACCCAGGAGTGGAATTGCTGGATCATACGGTAATCCTATGTTTAACCTTTTGAGGAACTGCCAGACTGTTCTGCAAAGTTTTAGCATCATTTTACATTCCCACCAGCAGTGTTCAAGGGTTCCAATCTCCCCACAGCCTCGCCAATATTTGTTACTGTCCATCTTTTTTATTATAGCAATCCTAGCGTGAAATGGTATTTCATTGCCATTTTCATTCACATGAGATTCTCAATACATTTTGAACAGGGGCCCCTTGTTTTCATTTCACCCTGGGCCCAGCAAATGATGGAGTGGTACCAACTGAAGCAAAGTAACCACCAAAGGAAGTGCCAGCACCTAGGAGCCACGGCCCCTCCTTGTTTCCACCAGAGACAAAAAAGGCTGGGGTGTGGGAGGAAGGAGAAGAAACCCACCTGCTTCTGACATCCCCATCAGACACCTTGGAGGAAGTGCCGGGTTCATCCTCAGACGGCCCCTGGGACTGCCGTTCACCCACTCCTCTAAGCCTCCCCCTCTCTCAGCCCTTCAGCTTGAATTCCTTCAAGTGAGAGGGAACCAGGATTTCATTATTCATTCAACAGCAGTTTGCTATTTGCCTGCCAGGTACTGAGTCAGGGGCTGGGGGCACCATGGCGAGCCGTTCCAAGTGCCAGTATTCTCAAAGCTCGTAAAAGGTTTGAATTCAAAGGCCTGGTTGATTTACCACATCCATTAAAATTCATTCACATTAAATTAACATTCTGTGGGTTAATCGACAAACATAATTGTTACAAAACCAGTTTCTGATGGAGGAGAAGGAAAAAGTGGGTGTGGGATTACTTAAGTCAGAGAAGGGGCTGTCTGCTAAGAGGGAGCAGAAAAATGGAAGGTGGAGAAACAGAGAACGTGGAAATAATGTATAAATTCACCAAAGAATGGCCCTCTTTGCCTCTATCTGGGCCGAGCTGAGAGCCACTCTTCTCAGGGGTTGTTTTTGTCTTGCCAATGCCTAGAGGCAGTTCTGCCTGGCTTGATTTATGAAGATGAGATTGGAGCATATTTTTTTCAACACTGCCTCTTTCCCTGAGGATTTGTTAATTGAGGTATCACCTCTCAAGAATCATTGAGTAAAACTAATATATTACATTGCATGTTTCTGACTTCCACCAGGGCAATTATTTCATGATGTGAATTAAAGGGAAGACCATGCTCTTGAGCATGTCAAAGAGAAAGCAGTTTATTCAGGACCATACTGGAAAAGGTTGATTTCCCTAATTTACACACTAGAATTAGACTTTATTTCATTTCTTTATCCTATTTCTAAAAATGAAATCATAAATTCCTCCTGACAGGTCGGCACAGATTAATTTGAAGTGCTCATAATTCAGTTATCTTTGGTGTGTCTTAGACCAACATTCAGCAGAAGTCCATCACATAACTTTGTAATGCCCAAAACTGTACACTTAACACTTTTTAATATCTCAGGATGATTACTTCCTATCTAGAAAGATTATAAAATAACCTCCTATAAATTCTAGGATTTCCTAGCCTCCTAGCAACCTGGGAAGGTGCAAAGGGAGCCCCTTAAGTATTTTTACATTTCTGAAGGTCCAATGAAAATCAAACAATACATCCACACAAGCCAACAACAACAAAAAGTTTGTGTTTGGCTGGAATCATATCAGTTCTCCACTTCATTAGACATTCTGCCTGACAACCATGTGTTGTGGTTGTTTGACTAATTAAAAAAAAATATATATATATATACACATCTGTATTAGTCATTACATAGTAAAATCATTTTGTAGACAAAATATTTTAAAAACTGGGTACACGAGGGAGGTGTCAATTACTAAAAGGGTCCTTGGTATTGAAAAGTCTGGGGAAAATCTGGAATAGATTATAAAACATGAGAAAATTCTGTTCCTTTAGCAGCTACTGCTTCTGAACACAAAGCTACTCGAGAATTCACGTTCCTGCTTTCCCATCCCTGTTCACAGGTCTTTCTTCCCCTCCCAATCACTCTCACCTGTGACCTACAAGTGACCTACAAGTGACTACAAGTGGAAGGGTAAGGCTTCCAAGCAGGTTCTCTTTGTAAGCTGAACAATCAAAATCACTTGCATTGTTGATACATTTTCTTGGCAACACCCACTTAGATTTCATTTTTTGGATATTAACAGCAACTGTTTTCTTTTTGCTCACAGGAGGGGCTCTTGTCCAACATGAAAGTCCACTGAAATCCAAACGGGCACCCCTGCTCCAGGGAAGGTTTGAGCAAGGATAGCTCTGATTAACTTGGTGCTTCTCTATTGGGAAGTTCTAGAAAGGACCAGGTTGATGAAACTTCCTCTACTGGATCTTTTCCAAATGACTTTCATCATTTGTTAGAAGTGAATTCTAGCTGAAACCTAGTCTTATTGAAAAGTAAGTTTAAATGTGTACATCAAAGACAAAAGGGGCAAGAACAAGGCAGGGATGGGCCATTCCCTCTATAGTGAAGATAAGGGAGCAACCGTTTCTTGCGCACTCTCATTGTCAAGAGTGGCGGCAATAATAACAACAACAATAATAATAATGCATAAAGCAAGTGTTCCATTAATATTTTCTTTCAAAAAAATTGAAATGCTTCATAGAAATCTCCACGAGCTGGAGTTCACCTCTCACGGATGGACAATAACATGAGCAAACTCTTGTAGCTGGCCTTGGCTACACTGTGTGGGAGGTAAACAACTGCTCTCTTTCATCCCAGGTAGAGAGGTTCAGACACTTCTGGGCCAAACAGAGTAGAAGAGTCTGTATGCTGTGTTTTGTTTTGTTTTGTTTCAGTTAGTAAATATAACTACCATTAGCCATAAGTACATGTTATTCACATATTAAAAATTTTTTTTAATTTTTTTCTTTATTCTATAGGGAATAAAAAGCCGTTCAAGTTTCTGATAAAGCAAATGACATTCTCCAACTTGTGCGCAGGAAGATAACTCTGGTGGCTGTGTGAAGGATGAACGGGCTGATGGAGACACTGAAGGTGAGGCAGATAAGGAGCTTCTTACAAAAGATGGTGCCAAGCCAAACTAGGATAAACACAGAAAGGGGAGGAGGTGAGAGATAAAAGAAATATGGCAAAGAATAAAAATCACTAGCAGTTAGCTACTGATCAAGGTGAGAGAGAGCGAGGCAGAGAAATGAAGCCTGGAGGAGAAAGACATGCATGGAAAAGTTGCAGAGCAAGAATAAATTCTGTGATGGTGTTACAGATGCTCATGAACCCTGCCCAGGTGCCCCAGCGAAGGGTGAACACCCACTAGGACCTGCTCAAAAGGCGGGGCTGATACCTGCCTCAAACCAAAAGGGGAGAAGTGAGCCCACTGGCATACCAACATACGAAAAAGCACACATTTGGAGTTAGTTGCCTGGGTTTGAGTACCTGCTTACCCTCCCTTCTCCCCACAAGCCTCAAGCAGCCCAGGGCAGGCTACTAACCCTACTGAAGCCAAAGCTTCCTGATCTGAAAATGAAGACAATATGCCCTGTAGCGCTGTTAGGAAAATAAACAGTCGCATGCAAGATGGCACCTACTGCAGGCCTGGCATATATCAGGGGCTGAACAATTAGTAAGAGTTCTCATCAGCCACACAAATGTTCCTATGCGGGGCTCAGAAAGAATGCATGACTTTCCCAAGGTGATGCAGCATATTAGTAACAAAACCAGAACTCAGTGTCAGTTTGTCTGAATTATCTTCCCTGTAAGCTCTATTTCCCAAAAAGCAAGAACATGCGCCGCTTTCTCCTGCACAGCTTCACGTTCTCCGTGTCCTTAGCATACTTTGTTTTCAGATCCTGGTCAACAAACAAGGCAAAACACTAAAGACGACTTTCATTCCCAATATGAAAACACTTTTCTGTTGATACAGCGTCTTTTATCATTTTCCTTAGCCCACGTAACAACTTTTTTTGAAATTCTGAATGACACAATTTACTGCATTGTTTTTGTCATCTATTGTTACAAAAGGGCCCCAGAATTTACTGGCTCAAAGGGACAATTTGTTATTTCCATCAGTTCTGTACCTTGTCTGGGCTCAGATGGAGGGTTCTCCTGCTCCACGTGGTACTGGCTGGGTCACTTTTGCGGCTACATTCATCTGAGAGCTCAATCAGAAAGTGGAAAGCCCAAAATGCCTTCACTCATACAGCTGCTGCCGGAATAGCCAGGGGCTGGCTGGGTCTCTCTCTCTCTTCACATTCTTGGCTGTCTGGCCCAAGCTTCTTTACAAAGCAGCTGGGTCCCAAGGGGTGAAGCAGAAGTTTTCGGAGAGCTTCAGGCCAGGGCTCAAAGTCCAGAAGGTCACCTCCACAGCATTACATTGGTCAAAGCAAATCCCAAGGCCAGGCCAGGTGCAAGGGGAGGGAAACAGACTCCACCTCTTGACATACACACACTCCCACCAGGAAAGGGAGGAATTGTCAGGAGGAAGTGTTGGTGGCCATCTTTGAAAGCATTTACCAAAACCATTATTTGTTGGGGCCAGCCCAGCAGCATAGTGGTTAAGTTCATGTGCTCTGCTTTTGTGGCCCTGGTTCACTGGTTCCAATCACAGGTGCAGACCTATGCCCTGCTCATCAAGTCATTCTGTGGCAGGCATCCCACATATAAAGTAGACGAAGATGGGCACAGATGTTATCTCAGGGCCACTCTCCCTCAGCAAAAAGAGGAGGATTGGCGGCAGATGTTAGCTCAGGGCCACTCTTCCTCAAAAATAAAAAAGAAAGAAACATTATTTGTAAAATCTGGGCTTCAGAGGCAATAGTAAACTATTTTGTTACAACTTTTTAGAAAGTATCTCATCCATTGATAAACTAAACTTGTTTTTTCTAAATGTCTTTTACCCTTGATTTCCCAGGAAGCATATATTTGAGGATCGTAGCAGGGTGGGTGTGGCCTTCAAAAAGATGTCCAAATCCCCAGAACCTGTGAACGACCTTATTTGGAAAAAGTCTTTGCAGATGTCATTAAATTAACAATTTTGAGACAAGCTCATTCTGGATGTCCCAGGTGGGCCCTAAATCCAACGACAAGTGTTCTTGGAAGAGACACAAGAGGAGAAAACACACAGCAGAGGAGGAGACGTGAAGACAGAGACAGAGATCAGAGTGGCGTGGTCACAAGCCAAGGAAGCCAGGAACGTCCACAGCCAGCAGCAGCGGAAGCGGCAAAGGATGCTCCCCCAGCCTCCAGAGGCAGTATGGCCCTACACACGCATTCATTTCAGGCTTCTGCCCTCTAGAACCTGAGAGAATAAATTTTTCATTTTAAGCCACCCCGTTTTCAGTAATTTTTTACAGCAGCCACAGGAAACTAAATACAAGGATCGTCCCTCTTTATACTTAAGACTAAACGTTTCACTCCCATTTTAGGATGGTGGTTTTTAGGGCAATGGCTGTGACTCTTGGCTCCTGCTGTCCCCACCCACTCAGCAGAGACACGGAGGAAGGCCCCTTACCTGAAAACTCAGCCTTGTCCACGTCTTCAGCCACTCCTGACAGAAACACGTAGAACGCCAGAAGCCTCTGTTTCACCAGATCCTTCTAGAAACAGTCTTGCTACTCAAAGTTCCCAGAGCCACAGCCCCTCCCTTCGCCCATTTCCCGCATCCACAGGATGGGCCCAGGCTTCGGATCACGGAGCTGAAGTTGCAGCGCCACGACCTATGACCTTCGGTAACTTACATAAATTCTCAGAGCTGCAGTTTCGTTCTCGGTAAAATCTGAAGATATTACCTTCCTCGTAGAGCTATTTAAAGAACTAAATAGGGGCCCGGGCTATTACTGCGGAAGTTGTGGCAGGCTGGGATGCTCCTCAAAATCGCGGAGGGCGCCTGGGGCTACGAGCCAGGACTTACTCCTCGGCAAGGCAGTACTTCGCACAGGCGCCCTGTGAGAAGCTGGACTGCCCCTCTCGCCCACACAGGTGCCAGGTGAGCGGCTGGCAGGCTCCTCTCATCCACGCAGGCACCCTGTGAGAGGTTCCGTGGCCCCTCTCGCCCACGCAGGCGCGCTGTAAGCGTCTCTGAGTCTCCTCTCTCCCACGCAGGCGCCCTGTGAGCCGCTCAGCGTCGTCTCTCATTCACGCAGGCGCCCTCTGAGCTGCTCAGCTGCCCGTCTCACTCACGCAGGCGCAAACCCAGGTGGTCTACGTTGGCAGAGTTTCCTCGGCCGTCCGCACCGCAACTCCTGGAGCCCCGAGGCTGCCAGGCCCTTCACGTGCGATCTCAGGCGTTGGTGATGATGGGCAGGGCCACCCTGCAGCGCACGTCTGACCCTGGCCGTGGTGAGGCCACGCCCGACGCCAACTACACAGTGTTCGACTTTGATGCCTTCTGCCAGGCGCGCTACAGAAGCAGCCAGAGCAAGGATGGTGCCGGAGAGCCCAGGGTGAGGCCCTTCACGAGCAGCGGGAGGACCGGGCCAGGAAGGGCTTCTGCTAGGACAAGCCCGGAGACACAACTTAAGTCTTCTTTCTCCCGATCTCCATCATCATGGGCTTTCGTTTTTAATTGGAGGGAGGAGGGAAGGGAAGCAGCCCTTAGCCAGCCCCAAGAAAATAGCATTTCCTGTGTTCTTGAATCCTCTGCATTCCATAGCCTACCTCTGCTGGGGGGTAAAGGAACTGTTCTCCCCCTCGTCTTCCCACCCGCCCATCTTAGCCATGGACCTGCACATCCCTCTCCTGCAGTCCAGAAGGGGAGGCTTTTCGCTGCCCAAGAAAGAGGCCCCAGGATGAAAAGTCCAGAAAGCCAGAGAATGAAAGGTTTTTCTGGAGTCCTTTGGGTGCCCGCTTCCAGAGGTTGCCTTCCTGGTTTTATCGACTTATGGAACACTTGGCTCTGGCTTTAAAGCTCTGAGCGAGAATTGTCTGCTACGGCCCCACATTTGTACTGAGGGGATCCTCTGTAACCTTGAAACATGCAATGTGACCAATTGTTGGCTGCCAAAGGAAAAATTCTGGGTTTATACGAGCCTCGTCTTTCTGTGACACCTAAGCCACAGATGACATGTGATGTAGCATAAGAATGTGATATGTGGAAGCCTTGCCATTCTGTCACCAGCCATGGACTCTAACCTGCTTCTCTTGTCTTGCTTAAACTGTAACCTTTTGTGTTCAACATAATTCTTTTGTCTTCCTGAAGGGTGCAGATGTTTCTTTCTCTAACGACTTTTGGAGTCTTGAGCTTATGTGGTTTCAGCTATGTTCCAGGAAGAAGCTCTAAGCAACAACTGACCTGGATCCAACCACTCTGAACAGGACCACACTGTCCCAGACCACAGCCACAAGACTGACACCTGCACAGACAGGCAGAGTTGTACTAAAATAACCTGCCCTCCTTAATGTTTGGAATTCTCCTCCTCTGGGAGGGGCAAAGCAGCCACTTTTAGATCCTGTGATGTGTGTAAAAGCATGATTTCAAACCACGTGTCCAAGCTTATGCCCACTTCTACATGTGATGATGAAACTTCCCCTTTGAATAGTCATTCCCTCTCCCAAATAAAGGTACCCACGTCCCAGTGCTGGGGGAGCCATTGCTTTGTGAAATTATTCTCTATGGTCTCCATTTTCTTTGCTGCATGCCACAAATAAAATGTCTGCTTTGTGTGACAACTACTTCTGGTGTAGTTTAACTCCCAAGAAGGGGACTCATGTTTGGTCTGGTAACAATTCTTCCTTGGTCAGAGTCAGACCCCATTCCCACTTCTGTTGGTGGCATGTGGGAGTGAGAGAGCATGGTCATTGAGTAAGGAATGAATGTTCCTGTGCCCATACTTATCTAATGTATGACCTTGGAGAAGGTACTCTGTGGGCATGACAGCAGAGGAGCAAATCATTTGCACTCTTGAGGTCTGTCACACTTTATTATCCATAGTGCTAATGGGCTGAGTGATTAAAACATTATGCTAGTAGGGCCAGATTCATCCTTAGCACAGTGTGCCTACCATCCGATCATCCCTTTACCAGCCAGCCCCATTGCTAACTGTGTAGACCATCCCCTCTCAGAAATAGAGCAACAGACTGGGAGTTTGAGTCATTTGAGTGTGGCCCATCCTCCTATTTAGGTTGCAGTGCTTTTGTAGGATCCAGAAGCCAAGCCTTTGAAACACCGCTGCTTGAGGCTGTGGGGAGTTTGGGGAGTTTGGAGTAGATGGGACTACTGAAGGACAGGAGGCACATAGTGGAAACTCCGTAGCTTATTCAGAGCTCGCTGAGGCTTTTCTTTTCTTTATTTTTGTGGTAGGCAGTTGGTCATCGCTTGCTAGAGCTGTAGTAGTCAGCTCTCTCAACCCTGAGTCACTGCACATGGGGAGTGGCTTTGTTGTGAGATTGTAGGTACTTGAGCATTTATGCACTGGGGCGAGTGTAAAGCTGTGGGATAGGAAACCCTTTGCAAGAGGTCTACCACAAGGGTGAGGGGCTAAGTCTAGGGTCTAATCAAAGCCAGAGGTGCTTTGGTATATTAATACCAATTCCTGCACTCAACCTTTGTGTGAAATCCTTTTATAAATTGGGATAAACCTACAGCTAGTTCAATGTAGTCTCTGGGAAACCATTCAGTTCTCTAGCCTTGGAGGTCAGGGACAAGCACTTAGTAATGACTTTGCAGCAACCATACAATTCAATAGTCAAGATTTGAGCTGACCATTGTTCAGACTTGTTGGGCTCAGTGAGCCATGATCTAGGGGGAGGGGCACATGGACTTTAAAAAAATATATTTGGGGCTGGCCCATGGTTTTGCGGTTAAGTTCAGCATATTCCACTTCAGCAGCCCAGGTTCACAGGTTTGGATCCCAGGCATGGACCTGTACCACTCATCAGCCATGCTGTGGCAGTGACCCATATAGAACGTGAAGGAAGACGGGCACAGATGTTAGCTCAGGCCAATATTCCTCAGGAAAAAAAAAAATTGATGTTATTATGTTTCATATTTGGAAAACGAGGGAAAGTCTGTTCTTTTTGAAATACAAACTACTGGAAGTGAGGCTTATAAAATGTACAGAAGGTAGTGATTCAAAACCAAGGAGTTGGGGCATAACGGAGTGTCCCTGGGGCAAGACTCTGTCAAAATTTCTATCACAAGAGGTTGGGATTCTTTTGGTTTTTGTTTGTAAAAGCACTAGTGGTCTGTAATAGCTGGGACCTTTCGCATGGGCTCCTTGACGTGAACCTCTCAAGTTTGTTTTCTCTTGGTGATAATCACAGCCAAGAACATGCCCTGGGGCCTCAGAACCTGGAGGTAGATAGAAAGTTCCAGAAGGCTTCAGGCAGGGGGGATGGAAGGGGGTCAGGTTGTGTGGAGCTTCTGGAGCATTGCATGCAACTCCAAGCAGCATAGTCGGTAAAGTTTATTACCCATCTAAGTCTCAGCCTCTCCCTAGGCCTGTACGTAGGCCCAGTCTACTCTAATAGAGCCATACTGCCTGCCTCAGGTGTTTTTAGGCCAGAGCTTAACTGTGAGAGACCCCACTCCCTAAAACTGAGTCTGGGCTCTTCATGGAAGGGGGATGTGTGGGGAGGCTTTTTGAAGGACCCCCCCCCCCCATCCACTGGTTCCCATGGTAACGTTTCTCCCTTCCTGGTC